TATAGGAATTAATCTTAATTACAAGTCATTTAGGACAGGTGGTTTTCATATCAAAAATCATCAATTCCTACCTGTCGGTGTATCATATCATGTCAATCTATATTCTTATGCCTCATTTTTTATATCATTTAGGATCCTACCACAAACCCTATTTTAAAGAAAAGTCGTTAGCCCACTCTCTAATGTAGAGTAAAATGCCTCCAGTCAATCTGAGTTAATTAATCATTGTTAACCAGCTTTTCTTACATACAAATATTTTTAAGTATATATAACATAATAAACATATGATGTCACACTTAATATTTAATTCATCGTATCATATTAATACATGTAAATTTTACATATGAATCAAAATTAATGGAATTCATAAGAAATACAATTTGCTCTTTTTCACATATATATACTCACAATAGATGGATTATGATAAATATGCTTGTGATATACTCATATGAAAATATTTTAATAATTATTTTCCAAATTTCTAAATTTATCCAAATTAGAATATTTCCCCCAAAATCTAAAAATACTCAATGAAAATTGAATATGATCATGCCAATATATACAGACAAATTAAAACTATAATATACTGAAAGTTATATTGTGAAAAATTGCTTGAAATAAAGATATCATAATTTTTATAAATTTGATCAAATTAAAAATCATAAGACACAAAATATATAAATCATTGGAATCAGAATAAGATTATGATAACCTACATTGAGATGAATATTTTTCCCAACTAGACCGGCTAACAAAAATCACTCTAAAATCTTCAAAGCCTAAGTTTTATTTTTTCTCACCTATCTTTTTCCCTTAATTTTTTGTTTCTACTCTCAGTTAAGCCCAATAAATAGGGGAAAAAAGGATCATTCTATGATATGTATAATAAAATAATAATAGGACATAAATATAATTATATACTTTGTTCAATTTTTAATGTAAAATCTATATAAATCATTTTATATCTTCAAATACCATGATTAAAAAATCATAAAAAAATATCCATAAAATATCCCAACATGTCTAGAAGACGGGTAAAATCGATTTGAAAAACGAACATCTAATGATCCCATAAAACTCACTTAGACTAACATGTATCAATTATCCACATTACCCATAAAATTAGAAGAAAATTATTACAATTAAAGCATAACAATATATATATTATGATGAATTCAATTTATAAATTGGACTTATAATAACTCATGAAATATTATTTGATTGTATCAAAATATAACCTTATCCAAACAAGATTCGAAAGCTCAAAAATAGTTCGAATAATATTGGAACAACTTTCAAACATATAATTTAACATAAACTTTAAATCCACCGTTGCTTAGCTTGGTTGGTGGGGAGTATAGTTAGGAACTCCCAACCCGTACTCGATTCTCCTCGAGCGACAGCGCCTCATAAGTGGGACCCAATTAAGTGCGTGACAGGGGGTTTCTGGGTGAGTGGCTCTTCTAGATCAACCGAGGATTAGTCACGCCACGAAACGCTATTTCAGAAGTGGCAGCGGATGAATACTCCGTTCTAAAAAATGATAAACTTTAAATAAATAGTCCAATGCCAAAATCGTTGGCCCACAAAAAATTTTTAGATATATATTTTTTTTAAAATAAATGTCGTGCATATTATTTTATTTATTTTATTACGAGGCATAGAAAATAATTTTTTTTTCTTTTAATTCTTTTCAATTCATGAAGATAACAATTTGACAAAAAACCAACTGAAGAGAGAAAAAAAAAAACCAAAAAATAGACAAATAAGTCAATATTTAAATTTAAATTTAATGGTAAAAAAGGACATCAAAGAACAGCTCACCGATCCCCGAGACGCTATCCTTCTCTCTGCCATCGGAATGCGACCGTATAAATTTAACTGATCGGCTTCATTCTCTCTAACCTATCCCTCATCCGATTTCCAGATCCCGCTCGCCGCGCCATGGCCGACGCCGTTGCTTCTTCTACTCCATCAGCAGCCGGTGATGCCGCCATCGCCACCGACGGAATCGCCACCGACGGCATCTCCACCGACGGCATCTCCACCGTCCCTTCCATAGCTCACAACCACCCTCCTTACGATGATGTAAGTCCTTTTTAAACGCTTCTCCTCCGTTTCACATAGATGTACTAAGCTTCCATGATGTATCTTCTTCTTCTCCGTTTCAAATAGATGATTTTAAGGGCAATTGAGGCGCTTAAGGGTCGCAAGGGGTCGAGCTGGTACGCAATCTCGAAATACATTTCGGACAATTACTCTGACCTTCCGCCAACTCACGCCACTCTCCTCACTGATCACCTCCGCCAACTCCACTCCAAAGGCGTCATCCGTATGTTGAAGCTTTGCTATAAGCTCGAAGATGGATCAAGGAAGCTAGGTCGGCCCCCTAAGTCCGTTCCTTCTGGTGAACCCAGAAAGCGTGGCCGGCCTCCGAAACTTTTATCTGATGTTTCTGCAACTAACAAGGGAAAGCCAGGGCGGCCACCGAAGGGTACTGGTCCACTGGTCAATGGACCGGTTTATATTGTTTCGCAGGCCGAGCAGCTTAGTTCTGGTCTTTTACAGGGTTTTCCTGGGGCTGTGGCTATTGTTCTTCCCAAGAGCCTGTTGAGCGAGAAGGCGGCCAAGAGCCCCATTCTTATTTTGCCTAAAGGGATCCAGTCTTTGGTTGATGCTTCTGCTGGGAAGAAGAAGCGGGGAAGGCCAAAAAATGTTGATATTAAGAAAAAGCGTGGTCGGCCAAGAAAGAAAGCTGCTTCTGCTTTTTCTAGGCAGGAGCTAGGGAGTTATGGAGATGAGAATGGAAAGCCTGCAAATCTTGTTGCGAAAGGGCCTGGACGACCATGGAAGATCAGAGACTTGCTGGTGCCTGGAAATACAGGGGAGATATTAGAGAAATCTAGAGAGACAGACATACTTGGAAGTGTTCAAGGGGCTCAGGATACTACAGGTTTGGAGGTGAAAAAGAGATCTGTTGGGCGCCCCAGGAAAACGCCATTGGTTGAAGGTTCCAATCCTCCTTCTGATGTTCTAGTTAAATAAGACATTGGCATAATTATCTGCTGTGTTATTTAGATTTATCTGTTGGGTCATGAATTGCTAGTTTTTATGTCAGAAATAGTGGTGAATATACCAGTAGCTGGATAGTTAGTTGTGCTTGTATGAATTTTATGCTTGTTTTATGTGGTTTAGCTTATCAACTGAAAGTTTGAAATAGTTCTTTATCTTGGTGTAAATTATTGTTTTGAAAGGAAATTTTTTTGTGTGAGCCCAGGTTGCACCCCCTGAGGCACTTCAGGGAGGCATTCAACCTGTGTTATAAATCCTACAAGATAGGGCACCATTCGGGGCAAACGGGGCACACCTTTTGTTCTGATAAGGTGCATGGCTTGCCATATAAGTTGACCTCGATTAATTTTGAAGTTATCAAGTTATTAAATAAATTT